CCTCCAAATGCTATCACACAGGTGCTTGTTAGTGCCTGTGTGATAGCAATAAAGTTAAGTGAAAAAAAAATGATAAGAAAAATTAATTAAATAAAAATGTAATAAAAAATAAGTAAAGAAAAATAAAAAAATAAATAAAAAGGTGATTAAAAAGTATAAAATAATAAGCAAAAAATGATTACAAAATAATAAGAAAATAATTATAAAAGATAAACAATCATACGATAACAAATATTAAAAAATAAAAATGCAAACGATAAGATAAATACAAATTTAAAAAGGTAAAATAAAAAAAAATAAAAAGTGGAATAAAAGTTTAAAGAAAATGGGGGCGCATTGCGGAACCTGGTCTTGGGGCGGCAGGGAGAGTAAATCCGGCCCTGGATACACCTTCGTGCTGCATCTTCTGTGGAAGGTGACAAACTCCTGATCCAGATATGACAATCTAACATCAATGTGGCTGCCCCTGACATCACTTAACAAATAGGAAAGCGTGTTACTGAACCAGACCCCTTATCTTTGGTTTTCTCCAGGATTGGATTGCTCTTTGTGTTTGGGAAAATGTTAAATTCATCCTGAACATCGCAGATTTGATTCTGAAAAGCTAAAATTGAACATTTACAATGTCTGAGTGCACTGATTGTGGTGCAAATTTGCCCATTGTTAAATTATTAACCAGTACAGTGTTGGTTTAAAATTCAGCAATATATTGTCCCCAAAATAACATAGAAAGCCCCCACAGTTGTGGAGGTATGAAGTAATTAAAAGCATAAAAATGATTTGAGGTTCTACTCTATGCCAACCAGACCCTTATCCAGGCGTAATGTAATAAAGTCACCGGCACTCCAAGTTTTCAAGTCAATAAGTTTATTGACCCAAGTGAAAACTCCTCTAGCAAAGTTTCGGGATCATGCGGCCCCTTCCTCAGGCAAACAGTTCCTCTGCGGCTCCTTCCCCTGTTTGCCTGAGGAAGGGGCCGCATGGTCCCGAAACGTTGGGTCAATAAACTTATTGACTTGAAAACTTGGAGTGCCGGTGACTTTATCACTTTGTACGTTTTGGACGGAGGCATCCGTTGTTGCTGCTGCACCCGCCCTGCTGCATGGGCATTTTCCTGTCAGGAGTGCGATGGGATACTTGGACTTTTTGACCTTATCCAGGCCTGGGGTGTGCCCTCAAAAGTAAGTGGGGTAATAGTAAAATAGGGGGACTTATGGTGCAATCTGGAAACCCCCCCTTTATAATAAGAGGATGATCAGACATCTGCCCCCTGGCAGGGGAATGAGTATTGAGGAACATTATTTACATTTTACCCATTCTTACAAAAAGTTAAAAGTAAAAAAAAAATAGAATTGAAAAACTTAAAAGAAAAAAAGCACAAACACATCATTACCGGCTTTTAAAGTAATGTTTATTGATGTCAGTCCATCATCAGACTCACGGCCTCCAGAGATGTATCTGTCAATGAGGACATCCAGTGAGATAATCCATGTCATGTTGACCCATCACCCCCGGATCTTGACATACCGCACTCTGGACAGCAGAGAATGGGAGACACCAGCAGGATGCAGCTCAGCTCCCTATTGGTGGCCTTGATGATGGTTGTGTCCTTATATTTGATGCAGAGGACTGCGAAAACGACAACCATTATCACCAGAATCATAGTCAATTGTTCATCATATGAGAGGGACTCTATCACTTAAAATGTATCCATGTCAATCCATTGTCAACAATGGCTTCCAGTGATGTATCTGTCAATGGAGTCATCCATCGAGCTAATCCACATCAAGCACCGGTCACCCTTGGATCTGGACATGCTGCACTCCTGCCTAAACAAATCTGGTCAGTGAAGCCACCGGGGATCCCCCGGGGTAAATTTTTATGACTTTGGCCAGGAATCTGTTGTTTAGTGGTGTGTACAGCCCCCTGAATTCCATTACCATTAAATGACCTCAATAGTGTGCAGGTTTGGGGTTTTTGCTGACTGTCAACCTAGTCGGCTAATCTGCTGACTGCTCGGACTGTTGGAATAAACTACTTCAAGATAAGTGGACAAAACAACGATCTACACATATCCACCTCCTCCATCATCATTCAATCACAGCAGTGTCCTTTGCAGGGCAGACACTCACCGCTCACTGATGTCTGTGGTTAGATTTTGTATCTCCACGCAACAATTGTGTTTTTCACCTTCTTCTCTCAGTGTTTGTCACAAATGTCTGAACACAACATCGTGTTCAGGTTGTGTTCTTCCTGAGCACACACTGTACAGGTATGCGCGGGAATCACCCACTTCATAGAAGATTCATGGGATGGAGATTAATGGGATGGAGATTAATTACATAGTTACATAGTATTTGGGGTTGAATAAAGACATACGTCCATCAAGTCCAACCCATATCGGTCCACGCATCATCTCATTCTTAGGGATACTGGTATCCCCGGATATTACGGTCCCTCAAGAAATTGTCGAATCTACACTCTTGGCTGAAATCACTGCCGATGGCAGAGAGTTCCAGACCTTAACCCCTCTTACTGTAAAGAACCCCCTTCGCCCCTTGTGCTGGAATTTTTTCTCCACCAACTTTAGGTGGTGGCCTCTAGTCCTATTAATGGGATGGAGATTAATGTGATGGAGATTACTGTGATGGAGATTCATGGGATGGAGATTCATGGGATGGAGATTAATGTGATGGAGATTAATGGGATGGAGATTACTGTGATGGAGATTCATGGGATGGAGATTCATGGGATGGAGATTCATGTGATGGAGATTCATGGGATGGAGATTCATGGGATGGAGATTCATGTGATGGAGATTCATGGGATGGAGATTAATGTGATGGAGATATTGAGAAGCCACTTTGATTTGAAGTTCTGAGATTTCATATCAGTTATCATTGTGATCGGGGATCGAAACATCCTTCTTATTAACAGGATACAATATATGAATGTTCATGTAGAGTTCATGTATTTGGAAGACATATGGTGCTGGTGGCACAGAGTAGATGGCCGGGTTCAGGATTTTATATAGAAGAGCCTTGAAGGGGTACAATGATAGTACCATGAAGGATTGAATGGCTTCACCCAGACCTGTAGTAAGGTAATACTTTGGTGAATTTCTGTACGTCTTTTTTTTTCTTAGGAGATCCCTTTATCATTAGATGGGACATGTGTGTGAAGGATTTCATGTATTCAAGTCATAGTATGCCTAATAAAGTTCTTCACATTCATCTGGACTTGTTTTACAAAGTTGATATATGCCGCCACTTGTCCACTGCAATGGGGATGGTCAAACGTTCTTCAACACTAGTCCAGATGAATGTGACTAACTACTGCTAGCTCAGCCTGGAACATATCTGGATCAGCTACAGCAAAACCTCCCAGAAGATGTTTAAAGCATCCAACTTAAATGAAAGGTCCATCAGATCCACCATATGATACCTGTGTGATTGGTCATCTCTCCCTCAGAGCAGGGGACGCAGTCATAGCAGCAGATGGGTCTTCCTTGTAGAGGAGCTTTCCTGTACCCGGGCCGACAGCTGTTACTGCAGACGGAGACTGGGACCTGCCGAGGAGACAAATTCATCAGCCACTACCTCCTTATAGTCTCCTGTCTGTACCTTTCGTCAGACTGCAATGGGGGAGGGGTAGCAATAGACATCAGTCAAGTTTGTTGCATGCACATGTGAGTGAGAAGGACGAGTTCATCGGTCTGCTGCTTCCACCTTATTATTCAATCACAGAGGTGGGGGAGGTGGCCAGGTGGTAATATTATTACAGGTTATAGAAACATGGCTGGTCCCATCTCTGTGTATATCCCAGTCCTAACCCTAAGGACATTACAGATATACAGCAGCTTAGATCCAGCATCTAATGCACATCAATTACCTGTACAAAGCTTGACTGAATTTCCACTCGCCTGCACTGCATTTCCACTCGCCAAATGCGAGCAGGCGAGTGGAAATTTTGAGCCCTGATCTATGGCATGAAGGTGCATTTAAAAAATAAAAGCCTTCAGCCTGCAGAAAAACACAAAGCTGCAATGCCTCTGTTTAATACTGCAATTGTTTAAAAACAACTACAATATGAAATATATATACAGAACATATATTGCAGTGCCAGGCTGCGGTAAACAAAGCTAGCAGGGTCTTGTCCTGTATTAAGAAGGGGATGTATTGCAGAGACAAGTCTATAATTGGGCCTCTATATAGATCGTTGGTTCGGCCACATCTGGAGTACGCGGTCCAGTTTTGGTCGCCGGTACTGAGAAGGGATGTCCTTGAACTGGAGAGAGTCCAGCGGAGGGCAACCAAACTAATTAGGGGAATGGAGGACCAGAGCTATGAGACAAGGGGGAGGGGCTGGAGGACCTGAGCTATGAGAGGAGGGGGAGGGGATGGAGGACCAGAGCTATGAGACAAGGCTTCTGACCTTAAACATGTTTACGCTGGAAGTAAGGAGATTAAGGGCGGATATGATTTTCATGTGCAAGATGTTCAATGGTGACGGCAACATTGGCAACAAACTGTTTGAGATTAACTCCGTTACAAAGACTAGAGGCCATCACCTAAAGTTGGTGGAGAAAAAATTTGAAGAGGGTTCTTTACAGTAAGAGCGGTTAGGGTCTGGAACTCACTGCCATCGGCCGTCATCTCAGCCAAGAGTGTAGATTTGTTCAAGAAACGTTTGGACAATTTCTTGAGGGACCGTAATATCCAGGGGTACCAGTATCCCTAAGAATGAGATGATGCGTGGACCTATATGGGTTGGACTTGACGGACTAATGTCTTTATTCAACCCCAAATACTATGTAACTATGTATATATTTTTGTCAGCGTATAATAAAACTGTGATTTATTTGTAAAAATATTTACCGGGTTATTCACTAAGCTGCCACGGACTCCGTGGGACAGGAAGACACGGCAGTCTGCGCTGGATCAGAATAAGGTAAGTCCTTAAAGGGGGGGGGGGGGGGGTTGTGACTTTAATGTCACTTCAACTCCTGAGTTTAGTGTCACTTTAATATCATCAAGATAATTTGGTATCCATTGACCGGTGGCAGATATTGATTCCCTATAAATACATGTTACGGAAGCAGGAAAAACTCAAACAATGATAACTATTCCCACACAACAGCTGAGGCTGCAACATTATTTATCTACAATGAGACTACTGGTATGCGTGGTGTCTGATGTCGATAAAGTTACTTATAAGGTGACTAGAAAGGGAAAACAAGTCACAGAGTGTAACACGTTGTACTGGACATATAAAACGGGCCTCGGAGGGCTGAGGGTATTCCTGTATCAATTCAGCAGAAGAACATTGCTTGCTTACTTTTCTATTCAAGCTTGTAGACTGCTGAATATTTTATTTGCTTGTTTATCATTTTTGTTCTTTTTATTTACAAGCTGGTGAGAAAAAAAAGTCACAATCCATACGTTATGATTTAATACATAATTTGTTACGCACCTTCCAGGGTTGAGCATCATTAATATCGGCGCACACTCCGTGACTGAAATAACCCTCCGATACGGTTGGACAGCCGAGCAGTGAATGCAGAGCGTGTGCGTAGGCATATACCGCCAGGTACGCATGATAAGTCAAGCTGAGATCATTTGTCTCAAATAACTGAGCAATCTCACCTCCGAGCTCTTCTTTCCCGGAGCAGGTCACATGTTCTTTTATAATGGGAGCGACTGACCCCTCAGCATCTCCATCAGGCCAGTGGCAGCTGAAAGCTTTCTCCCAGAACAGCCTAATAAATGGGTACATAGAGCTGGCATTTGGATGAAGGTTTAGAAGGAACTCCTCAAACCTTGGCATGTGGGCAGACCCGGGAACCAGTCCAATTGTGCCATTTAAGACCTTCCAGGCTTTCTTGGAGAAGAGTCCGGGGGTGATTATAAAGGAAGCTGAAGAGATGAACGTTTTCCCGGTGAGCCCGTCATCAAACATGTGCTGCAACATTATTTATCTACAATGAGACTACTGGTATGCGTGGTGTCTGATGTCGATAAAGTTACTTATAAGGTGACTAGAAAGGGAAAACAAGTCACAGAGTGTAACACGTTGTACTGGACATATAAAACGGGCCTCGGAGGGCTGAGGGTATTCCTGTATCAATTCAGCAGAAGAACATTGCTTGCTTACTTTTCTATTCAAGCTTGTAGACTGCTGAATATTTTATTTGCTTGTTTATCATTTTTGTTCTTTTTATTTACAAGCTGGTGAGAAAAAAAAGTCACAATCCATACGTTATGATTTAATACATAATTTGTTACGCACCTTCCAGGGTTGAGCATCATTAATATCGGCGCACACTCCGTGACTGAAATAACCCTCCGATACGGTTGGACAGCCGAGCAGTGAATGCAGAGCGTGTGCGTAGGCATATACCGCCAGGTACGCATGATAAGTCAAGCTGAGATCATTTGTCTCAAATAACTGAGCAATCTCACCTCCGAGCTCTTCTTTCCCGGAGCAGGTCACATGTTCTTTTATAATGGGAGCGACTGACCCCTCAGCATCTCCATCAGGCCAGTGGCAGCTGAAAGCTTTCTCCCAGAACAGCCTAATAAATGGGTACATAGAGCTGGCATTTGGATGAAGGTTTAGAAGGAACTCCTCAAACCTTGGCATGTGGGCAGACCCGGGAACCAGTCCAATTGTGCCATTTAAGACCTTCCAGGCTTTCTTGGAGAAGAGTCCGGGGGTGATTATAAAGGAAGCTGAAGAGATGAACGTTTTCCCGGTGAGCCCGTCATCAAACATGGCATCTAGCAGGGCCGTCACATGGACCTCCGGGCTGTGGAGAATGATCACATTGATGGAGCTTCCTTTAATAACATCCACCACTCTCCTGATCTGTCTGGTCGAATAACTCAGATGGATTTTCTCCAGGAAAGCAATACAACCTCCATTTCTCTCTATCCCAGCTCGTATAACCTGGGCCCCCTGCTGCCCGGCATCATTGTCCACCACCAACATCCCGACCCAAGTCCAACTAAAACGCCCAATCAGCTCGGGGAGAGCAATGTTCTGAAAGAGGTTGCTGGGCATGGTGCGGAAAAATGATGGGAATTGTATTTTATTGCTCAGAGCTGCAAGGGTCGCCCCATGACTGATCTGGAAAGGGAATAATGTACATATCATTGCTTAGAAGTGTTTGACACATAAGGATACATGTAACAAACTATCATCATTGTAATACGTAGGCATTTCATTTTGCATTTTAGGCTTAGGAATTGTTATACGGAAATGTTTTTCCTGGCTCTCCCCATGTCGGCATACTAATGGGTTAACCCCGCCCCCGGCTCCTAATAGGACCACCCCTAACTAGAGCATAAAGCCCCCTTCTCCCACCTCCTCTGTGTTCTTTTTTTGTCTTCCCTCTCCGCAAGAAGTCAGAGCTCATTCTACAAGGTCGCTGGCTACGTCTTGGGCAGCCTACGCGAAAGTTCCGGTAGAGGTCGTCTGTAAAGCAGCGAGTTGGTCGTCCTTTAATACTTCATTAAACATTATAATGTCGATGTGTCTAACTCTGCGTACTCAGCCTTTGGGGCGTCCGTATTATCTTCTGCGGCTTCCGCAGCTTATTAAATTATTTTGGCATTTTTCTTTACCTTGTGGTTATTGTATGCTATGTCCCATTAGTATGCCGACATGGGGAGAGCCAGGAATACGGAAAATTGTTATCACATACTTACCGTAATTTTCCTTTCCTGGCTCTCCTCATGTCGGCATAGCGTCCCTCCCATGCCTTCGCTCGGCGTGTTATTGAACACAGAGGAGGTGGGAGAAGGGGGCTTTATGCTCTAGTTAGGGGTGGTCCTATTAGGAGCCGGGGGCGGGGTTAACCCATTAGTATGCCGACATGAGGAGAGCCAGGAAAGGAAAATTACGGTAAGTATGTGATAACAATTTTCCGTAATATTGTGACATACTATGGTTATGGGTATGTGTACACCAGGGGTGCATCACAATACATAGAAGCATGCAGATACAGGTCAGAAGCTTTAGTTAATGTTCATTGAACACCAGCAGGGAACAAAATTCTCAGTGATGGTGACTGTAGCATGACCGTTGGTGCCAGCCGGGCTGATAGGTGTATTTCTCCTGGGATTTTTACCCATGACATTCTCAGAATGGAGCAAAAAAACTAAAAACATCCAGCGGATGGCTGTTCTCCAGACTGAAACACCTTCATGAAGAAGAGAGGTCAGAGACGCCTTGTTGATGAGAGAGGTCAGAGACGAATGGCCGGACTGGTTCCAGCTGACTCAGATAACCTCTCTTTACATATGTGCCGAGCTGAAAAGCATCTCAGAAGACACCAACACTCCCAGCCTTGAGGTGGATGGCCCACAACAAGAGAAGACCACGTCAGGCTCCACTCCAGTCATCCAAGAACAGGAAGTTGAGTGTGTAGGGAGGTCCTACCTATACCCAGTATTAGCATAGTGCTCCTAATACATTGCATGGTGATTAGACATTTCTAAAGAATCTTAACTTTTAGATACCTGTGGGTAATGGAGGACACCGAGAACTTGGGCAATAGGAAGAGATAAGGCGGAAAAATGTTCACCTATAATCCCGACCATGACTGAAGGGTTATGACAGTCGTATCCTGGAAAGGGGTTCCCAAGTCCTGACAGCAGGGACAGAACTCCTCCCACTGCCCGGAGCTCCGACATACAGGAATCCAGCAGGCTGAAGCCAAGAGTGATATTAGGCAGCAGCTCCGGAGAATTGTTAATTTCATCCACTGCAAACATGAGGCCCAGAACTTCCCGATAGTAACGAATGTGGAACCTACACAAAGCGAGGGGAGATTGAGAGTTTAGGTTATACAGTATATGCATTATGCTGGGTGCACACAACCATCTGCTCCCCATCACATTCATCTAAAACATGGGTGTGCCGCCCCAATGGGGCATAGAAGTTTATTTAGATAGAAGTTTTATATAGATTGTTTCCCTATACCTTTTCCTAGGGACGTTTTTATATGTCTAGTTCATATGCTGCCATCTAGTGGCCTTTTGTGGTAATGTATATATATATATCTATGTTACCTGACCTGATATCCCTGAGATCGATGACAGTTCCTCTGTATGTAAGCCCCACCCTTCTTCTTGTTGATCAGTATTTCCTGTGTCATGGCCACAGCTAACAGCCACATGTAATCAGGACACATGTACTCTGCATAGTACTGTAGGAAAGGCATCATCTTTTGAACGCATAATACTGTAACCATTCATTGCTGTTATCCTGTTGTCTGCACGTACAGAATAAAGCAACCTTTGTGGATGATACGGTATTTGGTGAGTTCAGCAATCTGACAAGGATTGTCCGCAGTGATTGAATCTACTTATACAGGTCAGGCATAGAGGTCTCTAGCATGCCTTACCTACAAGAACTCGGTCCATACCACTGTGTTCCTAAACTCTTTTTACATTCATTGTGTCACGATCTGGGATCAGGCTCAGAGTCCAGCAGCTGAAACCGCAGGCAATTCGTAGTATAACAGGCCGGGTTCGGTACACAAGCAGAGGATAGTAGTGGAGGAGCAGGCAGAAGCGTAGTCAGTGAACAAGCCGAGGTCAGGAGTCAAAGGTATCAGGTATTAAGCAGAAGATGATGAGAGTAGTCGGTGAATCAGCAGCCAAAGGTCGGTACACGGGTAGCAGTATTAGTAGATTGTATCACAGAAGGAGCAGGAAGCAAGAAAATGGCAGGAGAACAATAATCTGGCAAACAGGAAGTGCATAGGCGTGGCTAAAATAGGAAGTTCAAGGGAGGAGCAAGGAGGTCAGAGTTCAGCAGAAACTAGGTTTACCTGAGGATTACACAGGAGATCAGGCAAGGAGCTATCCAAGGTTCTAAGGTGGCTCAGCAGGTAGAACCCCCGCCAGACACAGCAGAGGCCCTGGGTTCAGATTCAGTTTCTTAACATGGGTACATCTATTGTCACCTGACTGTATCCAAACACTCCAATATGTTCCTAAATAACTATAATTTCTTATCTTTCAATACATTTACTATAAGAAACAAAAAGTTGAATAGATTCACTCAATGGTGCACCTAACACACACACACAAATCTAAATTCAGTTCCTAGAGGAACACGGATTCTTTGAGACACATACCCAGGAATTGGTGGCCTTCACTGGGCTAGTGACCCATAAATGGTATATTTACTCAGATTGGCTTGCCAAAAATTCCTCCTTCAAAACTCTCTCTTTATAAAGATATTTATTAACTGTTAAAAAGATCCCAGTACATTATGGTTTTTGTAAACTTAAAAAAAAGGATTTATAACAAAGCAAATTGAATGACATTCTTAATAACTAATGTTCTCTATATTCAATGTTCAAGAACTGCATTGGCATATCTGGGCCGAGCGTACTGATTAGGGTTGCCACCTTTTCTTCCATCGAAAACCCAAACACTCCAGCAATGTGCAGACATTTTATTGGGAGAATGAGTCGCGGATTATTCATATGTAAATATCACAGCTGAGACTATTTTCAGTGGAGGGCCAGTAGCCCCGATCTTAATTTTGGTTGCCCCTGTCTGCCTGACATCTTATGTCCGGGTTTCTGCTGCCATGAAACCCGGACACAGCATTCAAAACCCGGGTGAATCCTGGGCAGGTGGCAACCCTAGTACTGCTAATGTTCAGCTCAGTGATCAGATTACACGGTCTTCTTGTCATACATTTCATATTAGAACCTCATGGACATCACTTTTGCTTTCAGACATCTGCCCCCAGAACTTACCCCGTACAAGAGACTGGCTTTGGCTTCTCCTGGAAGGTTGGTATTTGGAAAACAAATCCGGAGTGAATCACAAAAATGGCCCCAATCAGAATATCTCCAAATTGTGAGAAGGTTTCCATTGGCCAATCGTGGGGACTGCAGCTGGGACCAGACTGACCCTCATCCAGCTGTGAGAAGAGGAGGAGGACCTGTAGTAGTCTCCTTATGATGGCCATTCATGTGATCTTCGTGAACTAGAGTTTCCTATTGTTCAGTGTTCTCAGCCATTGCAACTGGAAGATAGGAAGGTCAGAGGTTACAGTATTATCAAGTTTAAAGGCTTAGTCGCCCAGAATTTTGGATGGCAGATGTTTGTGAATTAGAACAGAACTCCAGGAATGAACTATCTTTTCAAGTTACATTGGCTCGGCTTTGTTACATGTAAAAATCCATGTATCACATCCGGAGAGCTGCTGGGGACGCTAAATTAATTGTAGTGGTCTGTTCTACAGACCAGGTCAGCGCTGGAGTGTTCCGGGTGCTTCTGGAGGACCTTGCTGAATGGAGGAGGTACGGGAGGGAGCGAATCCCTGTGTACAGACAGCAACAAGAACAGGAAAGAGCTGCCTGTGTGTAGCACAAGATACAACAGTGAATACCAGCACCGACCAGCAGCCCTCTGCATGTGACAAATGAATGATTACATGTAACCAAGCTGCTCCAATGTAAGTTAAATTTAACGTGTTTGTAAATCCCAACAATGAACTTCTCTTATTTGCCCCCCTTTTGGTCTGTAAAATATACTTTTGAAAGTGTTTTGCTAGATCTGTTTAAAAAGTATGAAAAACACTTGTTGATCTGTCAAAAATCCAGCGAGCTGATAACTTCGTGCACTCTCTGCCTGTGCTGCACTCTTACATGTTATCATGTTCCCGGCTATCTCTCTAAACTACATTAAAGCGTCTCTCCAGGCAGAAATCAGAAATATTCCTTTGTAACCGTCCCCAAAATATGTACCTTCCAGTGGCGTAACAATCACCAAAGCGACCCAGGCGACCGCTATGGGCCCGGGGCACAGCGGGGCCCGGCCAGATGCCGTGCGGGCCGCCTGGGTCGCTATGGCGTCCTCTGCTGGTGGCTTTCACTGGCGGCTCTGAAGAAGAATGCGCTGCTGTTCAGATCACTGACCGTAATCTGTGCGCGTTCCTCTCCACAGAGTCAATGAGAACCAGCAATGGCGGTAGAGCAGGCTGGACCCGGCAGTGGAAGAGGAGGCGGGGCCCGTGGTCGGCAACAGGGGAGGAGGCAGGGCCCGGTGACGGAGAAGGAGGCGGGCCCGGCAACGGAGGAAAAGGCGGGGCCCATCAGCGACGGTGGAGCAAAAGGAGGCGGACAGGTAAGGAGTGGGACCAGCCCACCTGAGGGTGACCCTGTAAAGCCCACCATAGAGAGTCTATGGTGGGCTCTGCAGGGTCACCCTCAGGTGAGCTGTGTGGGATCTCAATTGGGCTCTGCAAGGGGTATAACTAGAAATCACAGGGCCCCATACCAAATTTTGCTATGGGGCCCTGAGATTTCTAGTTACGCCCCCGGTACCTTCCTAATATATCCGGTTAAGAATTTACCTGGTGACTCGGCTATTCCCCTCATCGTGACCTGCTTTCTGGGGAGGGTCTGGCAATGTTCTTCAGCAGCCACCAAGAATGAAGCTGCGCCACTTTATTTGTGTGTATGTTGTGGGATTTAGCTTCAAATGGTAGCGCATTAAGGACGAAGTCCACTCTCAAACATGTTCTTTTTAGGGCTTTCCTGCCCACTTTTATTTAAAAATTCACACAAGTTTTCCCTCACACGGGTTTCTCCAACATAACTTCAGCAAAATAACGTTTCTGAAAGCCTCACCGACTTCAGGTTATCACTTTAAACCTCCCCCACACAGGCTGCATCCCATAGACGTCCTGCACAGGCTGGTTCCAGGATGGAGTTCCTCTGACTCCCGGACAGACACCTCCCTTGTCTTCCAGCTGGAACCCTGAACATCAGCCGGCACCCTTTCCATAAGGGCTGTGCACAGGTGTGCAATCATTAGGTTCTGGCCCCTACTAAACCACGGGGACCCGGGACTGGAGATCTCATCCCTCCCAATTCTCTTTGAAATCTCCCAGTTCCAGGATCCCAATGCCAAATCCACAAAACCACACAAAATTTACATGTTTAGTTTTTGGCTCCAAGTCCCAATTTGTGATATCATCAGGATGAACTTCTATAGGGAGCCTGAAATTGAAGCTGGATTGAAGCTGGAGTGTCCTAATGGCAATCTAGATAGAGTGTCTGGTGAAGGAAGGTTACTACTGCAGAGCTCTTGTTCAATTTCAAATAATATATTCAACACTTACCGCTACAATATAACTTTGCCATGTAGATCTATAGAGGGGTGAAGCGCGCCATCCAGTGATGTGTCTATTATAGATCTATAGAGGGGTGAAGCGCGCCATCCAGTGATGTGTCTATTGTATATCTATAGAAGGAGGAACCGCGCCATCCAGTGATGTGTCTATTGTAGATCTATAGAAGGAGGAACCGCGCCGTCCAGTGATGTGTCTATTGTAGATGTATAGAAGGAGGAACCGCGCCGTCCAGTGATGTGTCTATTGTAGATGTATAGAAGGAGGAACCGCGCCGTCCAGTGATGTGTCTATTGTAGATCTATAGAATGAGGAACCGTGCCGTCCAGTGATGTGTCTATTGTAGATGTATAGAAGGAGGAACCGCGCCGTCCAGTGATGTCTATTGTAGATCTATAGAATGAGGAACCGCGCCGTCCAGTGATGTGTCTATTGTAGATGTATAGAAGGAGGAACCGCGCCGTCCAGTGATGTGTCTATTGTAGATCTATAGAGGGGTGAACCGCGCCATCCAGTGATGTGTCTATTGTAGATCTATAGAGGGAGGAACTGCGCCGCCCAGTGATGTGTCTATTGTAGATCTATAGAGGGAGGAACCGCGCCGTCCAGTGATGTGTCTATTGTAGATCTATAGAGGGAGGAACCGCGCCGTCCAGTGATGTGTCTATTGTGTATCTATTTCAAATGTTATAAATATTCTATTATATCTCTTTGATAAAATGTTCCTGAAAGATGCTGGAGACTCCCAGGATCCTCTGTACTTTCCACCTCCAGACTGATAACTCATACGCATGCCTCTCATCAGAAGGCCTTTAGACATAATATATAAGTTGTATAGGTGTAATGGGAGCTACATATAGAGATGGTAGCACTGATATTTATAGGGAGCAGGTGAGGAGCCAGCACTCTGTGGACACAATCTGATATAATTATTGGTTTGGTTGTCCCCTCTGAGGGTTTCGGTGGGGTCATCACACCCCAAGACTTGCTGCGGTAAGCACTATAGTGAGAGATTGTGTGATTACAGTGATTATGGCGCCATAATTACAGATCTGCCTCATTGGTGACCCACAAAATGGGAAGATTGTTGAGGACGAGGAGAGGTCAGGAATTGGGGGAATTGAATTACCGTTTTCATGGTCCCATTTGTCCTGTGACTGCTCCGCTGGTAATTATAATGGGTGGAAAGGAGGCGCACCTTGTGAATTGGTAATGATATATCTCACACTGTAATTATCTCCTGTGTATGAGCAGTGATCCGCCGAGCTTCTGATACCTTCCAGCAACAAATAATTATCTCCTCTGTTCATAGCCTGCGTGTCATCGGATAATTCTAAGAGTTCATGTAAACTACACCTGACCTCACCCTAAGGACACTGAGCAGGCTCCGGTGATAGAATGCAAGCACCAAGCGGGGCCTTTCATGCGCTTAGCTCTCGTGTACAACCCGTCAGACCAGAAACCCCAGACCATTATAAGCTGCAAGGCTCTACAATTCAATACTTGCTGACTGCTAGACTTCCATTGATGGAGAGGAACAGCAACAAACAATCCCTGGTTGCCCCCAAGTAAAAAAAAGATGATTTATACCACAACATAGTTCCATATAGATACATCCAGTACATCATATATCCATACAATTATTTGCATTAGCTTGCTCCTACATGTACAGTCAATGTATACCGATCATCCGTTACATCCTGACCACTGAGAGGTGAAGTGGATAACCATGATGATCTGATTTAATGACATCTGGAAGTGTGTGTGTCACCTGGAAGTGTGGGTGGTATATTACAATGGCACCTGGAAGTGAGGGGGATACATTAAAATGACACCTGGAAGTGGGGGGGATATATTACAATGACACCTGGAAGTGGGGGGGGGGATATATTTGGCAGGAAGTGAAAATTTTGTCCCTGAAGTTGATGGAAGCAGAAATAATGGACAAGTGTGAGGATTTGAGGGACTCTGACAAAGACCAAATTGTGATTCTAGACGACTGGGTCAGAGCAACTCCAGACCTGCAGCTCTTGTGGGATGTTCCCGGCCTGCAGTGGTAAGGACCAACCAAAAGTGATCCAAGGAAGGAAAATCGGTGAACTAATGACAGGGTCATGGGAGGCCAAGGCTCATTGATGAATGTGGGGAGGGAAGGCTCATTGATGGATGTGGGGAGGGAAGGCTCATTGATGGACGTGGGGGGTGAAGGATCATTGATGGACGGGGGGAGGGAAGGCTCATTGATGGATGTGGGGAGGGAAGGCTCATTGATGGACGTGGGGGGTGA